GGAGGGACCCTTTATTAACCTCAAATCTCTGCTTTTGTATTCTCCTTCCCCCTTGATGACTCCCGATGACTCTTCACCTGTGGCTATCTGTGGTTGGTTGTCTCTTTGTGGTCACACATTCATGTAGCCTTCTGGGCCTTCTCCTAATTTGGTCTGTTCCCCCAAAACCAGGACTCAGGCCCCGCTCTGCTCTGGAGCCTTGTAGCTGGTGTCACTTATCTCATGTTATGGGACAGTAAGGTACATGCTTCCTTTGGTTCCCAGGCTTTTTTCTAGACTATGTGTCCTTGTTGGCTTTGTTGTGCTAGATAGCCGGTCTGCTCTCAGGGCCATGAGAAGCTGTATGTGTGTCTCCCAAGCTCTTTAGAAATCCATGTAACCCCTGCTGCCTATCTTGACCCCTTATAATGCATATATCTATACCTATACACCAATTCCCACAAAACAGGCCATTTTTAAGCCAACAATGGGGCCTAGTTTCCATTTGGTGCCATGTCCATGCTTTGTACCTTCAAGCCCTAGAGAGAATCTCATGTAATGACTTGGTACAGCATAGAGCATATTGAGTAATATTCTTTTCTTGTGCCATCTCTGAAGTTCCAATATAGCTGGTAGCTCTCTTATATCCATGCAGGTGGTTTCCCTGAGACCTCTCTGAGCTGGCCTTCTTTTACCAAAACTGACTTAAGACTTGGAAGTTTGCCTCTATCACAAGTTGTATTTTAGTCACCTTGTCACTGAACCCAAGAAGGCACTTTGGTAAACGAGAGATAGAACTTGGAAAGTCCCTAACATAAGAGGCCTTCTGGACTGTGTTGTTGCTTGGACTGAGTGCACCTAGTTGCCACACTCCACCTATGACCACTCCATCCATCCCTATGACCACTCAGCCAGCCACTGTCCCTCCCATGGTGAGCGCTGTTGTTATAACAATTGTGCCCTGCAGTTGTGTTTTCGCTACCTCATATCCCCTAAACCTATAGCATCTGCTGTCAAACCCATGCCCTTACGACCTCTGAAGTATGACACAAGCCAGTTGAATAAGAACCAGCAGATCTGCCTCTAAGCTACATCATATAAGCAGCTATATTCCAGTGCCCATTTAACACCATGGTATCTTGCCCTGGTACTAAGTGGCAGGAAGTTTTACTACATAAAAAGGTAAGGAACCCTGGTGGGCCAGCCTGATTTCAGCTTCTCTTGGGGACCTAATTTGGTGGCTACTCCATACAGTTTAAGGCAGTTTATTTGGGCTGTGCAAAGCTTCAGTAGCTGGTTTGATTCAGAGGAGATTCAGCCCAATTTGGGGACCAAATCTGCAAATCCAAATCAAATTGGGAGACCAATTAAAAGCTCTGACTCGATTTGAAGCATCCAGATCGATTCAGAAAAGCTTTGGAAAAGATTTGGCTGCTTCAGAGATGGCCTGTTTGGCCATAGACTAAACAGGCAGCTAACATGACTGTCTCCAGCTGGTAAGTCTGTTGGGGTTGGGAGAGGGCAGGAAGGGGTGTGGGGGAGGGAGGGATTGGTGCTGGGGCTAGGACAAGTTACCCAGCTGACATGGGGGAGCGTGTTGCTTGGGGAGGAGGGCAAGGTCTGTGGGATGAGGGTAGTGCTGTGAGCAGTGGCTCTGCCCTGCTGCCGCTTGCCCAGTCAGGGTGGGGGAGTGGCGGGGAGGGGATGCAAGCATGGCTTGCTCCAGGCAAAAGGGAGCAAGTGGCAGCAGGGCATAGCCCCCAGTCCCAGCACTGCCACGCCTGTATCCCGCACCCCCCACGCTGGCTGGCAAGTGGTGACATGGCAGAACCCCCGCTCCCAGTACTGATGCAGGTGCAGTAGTGCTGGGAGTGGGGCCTATGCCCTGCTGCTGCCCAGAGTGAGTGGTGCCTGCATCACGCCCTGCCCCCCATGCTGGCTGGACCTTCAGCAGCAGTTCAGAGCCCCCTCAGCTCCCCCCCACTGGGGCAGAGGCAGGCACTGGAGAAGCCACAGGAGAAGTCCCCGGGGCTGCCCTGCTTGGCCCTATTCCCTGCTTGGCCCCCCCCTCCCCGCATTTAAAAAAAAAAAAGCCCCATACTCACTGGCTCTGGCAGCGGTGATTAGGGCCTCTGAGGGCTTGTGGCAGAGCCCCCCTGCGCAGCATGGGGCAGTGAGGGGCAGTAGGGGGCAGCGGAGATCACCCCCAGCTTGGCATCCATGCAGCAGCTGCCGCATGGTGCAGGTGCAGCATGGCTCAGCAGGGCACCGTATGCTGTCTGAGAGCTGGGGCAGGTCCACATGTCAGCTGGAGCCCAGCACCACTTGGCCCCCAGCATGCAGCACCCTGACAAGCTTCAATGCACCCACACCAAGGGGCAGTTGCCATGTGGGTACCAGGCCGGGGGGGGGCATTGGGAATGCCCCCCACCACTCCGTGCTGCATGGGAGGGCTCTGCCATGAGTGCCAAGAGGCCCCAATTGCCACCACTGCAGCCAGCAAGTACGGGGCTTATTTTTTGCTTTTTTTTAAAGTGCCAGGAGGCTGGGGTCAGGCAGGGGATGGGGTCAGGCAGGGCATCCATGGGGGCCCTCCCCACCAGGGGGAGGCAGGCACAGCTGGAGCAGCCACAGGAGAACCTACAGCTGCCCGGCTGTGCTTGCCTGTCCTCGGCTGATCTGAATCACTGAATCTTTCCGAATCAGCACTGAATCTTCCAAAGCAGATTCGACTGAATTGATTCAGGACAGTGATCTGAATCTCCGAATCAAATCACTGTCCTCCAAATTGGCCAAATTCAAATTGAATACTTCCCTATTCACATAGGCCTACAGTTTATACCTAGGCATTTGTTTCTTCTCTGAGAAGAGGCATCTCCTAGTACTTGTAGAATATTTTACAGAGAGTCTGGCTGCACTGTGCCTAGCACTGCATTATTTATGCATACCCAACTCTCAGTTTGCATGTTAACACTTAGCCCTGGCCAAGATGTCTGTTAGTTATGTAAGGATGCAAAGGAGGTTGTACTGGTGGAGGGTGAATCTTTTGTGACTGCAAAGCTTACTTCATCTTATTTATTCATGTTGCTGGATAGAGCTCCTTTGCACAACATCTGTTAACTACTTTGTGGAATTGTAGGTGCTAGTTAGGATTCTTTGTTCAGTGTCTCTTTTGTTTTAAACATGTGACCCTCATTCTCTTCATTATTTTTGTTTTCATTTGTTCCATGGATTATGTTGTACCTGGGTCTTGTGACACTTCCCTCAGAATGAGGACCTGGGTCTTTAGGTCTGGTCATCTCTATGCCCACCTTTTTAGGAGCTAGATAAGGTCTAGGTCTGAATGAGACATGTCCAAGCCGGGGAAAATGGCATGTGATCACGTATGTTGAATGTATGCTAATGAGTGTACACACATGAGCAGAACAATGTGCTTTCCCTAACCACATTATCTGTGGTATTTCACCAAAAGTTTCCCCCCCAAAAAATTCACCTTTAGATAGACATGCATAATGGGAAATATCAGTCTGAGCAGTTAGTTATAAACAAAAAAGTAAACTTGAGAATAGAAACTCTTCTGCTGAAGCTGAGGTTAGTTCCCCTCCCTCTAAGTTCCATGTCTCTTGATGCTGTATTTCCTTCTTCTTTGATACATAACAAAAGAAGCAAGGGTTTTAATTTTGCAACCACAGCCAGCATTGACAGCTTTGCTTTCAATGAAAACCTGAAGGTTTCTTAAGGAAAAAAAAAACACCTTGTAAAAAATTGCTTCTAACAAAGACAGAGAAATACAAGATAGCTCTGTTGTGGTCTGAAGAGGACAAATCTCTCAAAATTGTATGGT